GTTGGAGGGGGCTTGGAGCAACCTGGTGTGGTGGGAGGTGTCCCTGCCCAGGGCAGGGGGTGGGATGGTCTTTAAGGTCCCTTCCAACCCAAACCATTCTGTGACTGATTCTATGAAATCATCCCTTCCTGCAGAGACCTTGGAGCATCAGGAAGGTAGAGACAATCCCGTAGTGAGTCTGGGATGGGAGAGCCTGAGGGTGGTCGGGTGGCCCGGGTGGGTGCAGGGACCTGCTGAGCTGCAGCCACTGGAGCCATTTGAGCTCTGCCATATTCCCTGCGGAAAAGGGCAAAAGTCTCCTTGGCTGGGCTGGGCGTTTGGAGGCGGGAGGTGGTGGTGGTGCCAAGTGGAGCTGGTACATAAAGAGTCCTCTCACTCCGCTGGCTCAATCCCTTTGGGTGCTTTAATTGGATCAGCTCAATGGGAAAGTGAGGTCATTGTGGGGTAAGGAAGGGCATGACAAAACGCTTGGGTTTTGAAAACATAGTAGAAGCCTGGAGCGAGCTGCCCTTCCTTGGGTGGGGAGGAGGGAACAGCACGATCCCTTCGGCGGGAAGGGACGGGGCTCGGGCTGAAAAACACTGAAAAGAGGATTTAAAAATAAGTATGAATGGTCGTGCAGAGGGAAAGTGGATGGCTTCCACTTGGATGGAAAAAGTGAGGGTTGTGAAACTTCTAAGTGGGAGCAACAGGAGTATTTTTATCCCGATGGCATTGAAAGGATTTGCGAGTTGAGATCCAGTTAGAAAGAAGGCATCGGCAGCCCGGGAAGGTTGGTGTCCCCTCGGGGACGAGGTGGGATGGAAAGAGGCTCTTGCTCCTTTTTTGATCCAAACACTTTCTGTCTGAGACAACGTTCCACAGGCGAATGGGACTGAGGGGAAAATAGACCAGGTTTCCTGGTAAACCCCTGCAACAGCCAAGAATCCTTCTTTTTGGTAACTTCCCAGTAGAGGTTTGCATGGATTTTTTATTTGGTTTTTTTTAAGGGTCAGGATTGCAGAAAAGAGCAGCTGGTGAGAACTGTCCCAGAGCAGGATTTCTGTCCCGTGAATGGCTCTGAGGTTTCAACATTTCATTTCAGGCTGAAAGAAAAAAAGATATTAAAAAAAAAAAATCTCAAAACTTTCCATGAGTTATTTAGAATACTCCTTTGGCTGGGTCAAAACTTTCCTCTTCCATTATATTGAAATGTTTCATCTCGACCTTTATAGTATCTGAAATAATTACCCCAGCAAAGTGCTTCCCCCCGTGGACACTGTCCAACAAGTATTTTGGGAGAGCTATTGTGAGAGCATCAAGGAGATCTTTGATATCAAATGGAAGTGCTTCAGTTGTTTCTCGTCGAAAACATTCCTGAGGTTGGTCTGTGCCTGCAAAATTCTGAATCAAGACAGAGTTTTCTGCTGGAAAACTTAAACGGGGAAAATTTTGGCTAATAGAGCCACTAAGAACTCGTGAGTGTTGCTCACATCCACAGACTGAATATTGCTCCTGTGTGTCGGATATTGTTGCCTTTCCTTTTGTCCTCCTTGAAGTTTTTATGGGGAAGGAGTGAAAGGCTGGTGGGAGGGCTGGAGATGAGAGACCTGGAGATCAGAACAGAAAGAAATAGAAAATGCTGGGGTTGAAAGGAAGGAAGAAGAGATTCATGTATCACAGAGGAGCCAAGAAGGTCATAACCCCAAAGTGTTATTTTCCTTTTGTAGGTGCCTTTAGACACGTGGGGAACCCACTGCTCTTAGGATTGTAGAGTCACAGATGGTTTGGGTTGGAAGGGACCTTAAAGATCATCTGAGCCCAACCCCCTGTCCTGGATGCCCCATCCCTGGAGGGGTTCAAGGCCAGGTTGGAGGGGGCTTGGAGCAACCTGGTGTGGTGGGAGGTGTCCCTGCCCAGGGCAGGGGGTGGCACTGGGTGGGCTTTAAGGTCCCTTCCAACCCAAACTATTCTGTGGCTTTATAACAGTCTTGGGTCCAGGGAGCCAAATATGAAATGTGCCAACATCTGCTGCACCCAGGGATGGCAGAGCAAGGGAGAGTCCACCTGTGGGCACTTGTCCCTCACCAGGAGCCCTTCCAGCCCTGCACCATCTGCTCATCTTCTCCCCTTCCCCCTTCCCACAGCTCATGAGGGAGCGACTTGTGACCTGCTGGGCAAGATCTACCACAACGGGGAGAGCTTCCAGCCCACCTGCAAACTGCAGTGCATCTGCATGGACGGGGCCATCGGCTGCATCCCCCTCTGCTCCGACGACGTGCGGCTGCCGTCCCCCGAGTGCCCCAACCCCCGGCGGGTGAAGTTTCGCCATAAGTGCTGTGAAGAGTGGGTCTGTGAGGGGGGCAGTGAGGAGAACCGCTTCCAGACAGCCATGGCGGGTGAGCAGGGGGCAGGGGTGACAGGGACAGGGGCTGTTTGATTCATAGGGTCACGGAATGGTTCAGGTTGGAAGGGACCTTAAAGACCATCTCATTCCACCCCCTGCCCTGGGCAGGGACACCTCCCACCAGCCCAGGTTGCTCCAAGCCCCCTCCAACCTGCCCTTGAACCCCTCCAGGGATGGGGCAGCCACAGCTTCTCTGGCCAACCTGGGCCAGGCTCTCACCACCCTCACACCAAACAAGTTCTTCCCCACATCTCAGCTCCATCTCCCCTCTTTCAGTGTCAAACCCTTCCCCCTCCTCCTAGGGCTCCCCTCCCTGATCCAGAGTCCCTCCCCAGCTTTCCTGGAGCCCCTTGAGGGACTGGAAGGGGCTCCAAGGTCTCCCTGGAGCCTTCTCTTCTCCAGGTTGAACCCCCCCAACTCTCTCAGCCCGTCCTCCCAGCAGAGGGGCTTGGGGAACTGGGGTGCATCCAAACTGCCTTTGGACTGGGAGCCCTAAGTCACAGCTGGTTTGGAACTGGGGGTGACTACACACAATTGGGTGGGTACCAAGTGTTGAACACCATTAAGGTGAGACCTTCACGGTGCTGCAGAGAGGTCCTCACCCTGTCCAGTACCGCAGCAGGACTGGCTGGACCTGGGTTGTGGTAGGAAATGACCCCGTCTTTGCCCAAATCCTCCTCCTGCTTAGAGGCTGAGGAGCTCATGGGATGGATCAGACCCTTGGCTGCTGTTCCTGAAGAGTCAGACCAGGTTGGGAGCAGCCATGGAGCTGCCACGGTTTTTCCCAAGCCCTGAACCTTCCTTTGTGTCTCTTCTGCGTGGCTCAGTTTTCAGGGAGGAACCAGCACAGAAACCAGAGTTGAATAATCTGCAGGAGAACTGCTTGGTGCAGACCACGGAGTGGAGCGCGTGCTCCAAGAGCTGCGGCATGGGCATCTCCGCACGAGTGACCAACAACAACCCCCAGTGCCGCCTGGAGAAGGAGACCCGGCTCTGCATGATCCGACCCTGCGACTTCCCCGTGGAGAAAAGCAAGGTACTGGGCTTGGGGAGAGGGGACAGGACATGGTGAACGACAGGGACAACCTCGTGGGGTACGTGCCAGGGATGAACCTGTCACACGGGGTTTGTTGTGCTTTTTTTTGTGTCCTACTGCCCAGAGATGGAGATGGAACGTGGGGCGAGGTGGGTCTTTCTGATGGTCATAGAATCACAGACTGGTTTGGGTTGTGTCCTACTGCCCAGTGATGGAGATGGAACGTGGGGTGAGGTGGATCTTTGTGATTGTCATGGAATCACAGACTGGGTTGGGTTGGAAGGGAACTTAAAGACCATCTCATTCCACCCCCTGCCCTGGGCAGGGACACCTCCCACCAGCCCAGGTTGCTCCAAGCCCCCTCCAACCTGCCCTTGAACCCCTCCAGGGATGGGGCAGCCACAGCTTCTCGGGGCAACCTGGGCCAGGCTCTCACCACCCTCACACCAAAGAACTTCTTCCCCACATCTCAGCTCCATCTCCCCACTTTTAAAGCCATTCCCCCTCCTCCTAGGGCTCCCTCCCCCATGAAGAGTCCCTCCCCAGCTTTCCTGGAGGCCCTGGAGGGACTGGAAGGGGCTCCAAGGTCTCCCCGGAGCCTTCTCTTCTCCAGGCTGAACCCCCCAACTCTCTCAGCCCCCCCTCCCAGCAGAGGGGCTCCAGCCCTCCCAGCATCTCCGGGGCCTCCTCTGGCCCCACTCCAACAGCTCCATGTCCTTCTGCTGTTGGTGGCCCCAGAGCTGGAGGCAGCAATGGGGGGTGTCTCCCCAGAGCAGAGCAGAGGGGCAGAATCCCCCCCTGGCCCTGCTGGCCAC